CTGGCTGCTGGCTACACACGGTAGCCCATGGCAACCCACTGCCACAGGGGCTGCAGCCTACGCCGTCGCCAGCGACTCTCGGCAGCCCAGCTCCAGGTTGAGCTGTTGTTCAGCATCTTAGCTGTGGAGGGCAGTGTCACTGGCCCTCATATGCGGGATCCGAACCGGGGCCCTCTGGCATCCCAAGCGAGTTCTTAACCATCGCGCCACTCGGCCGGCCCTAATTAATAATAATCTTAATAAAATCTGACCAAACCAATAATTAAATTAAGTGTAAATGGCCTAAAAACACCAATTATAAGCCAGATATTGTCAGATTGAATTTTTTAAAAATATGATCAAACTATATGCTGTATGTAAGAAATCCACTTTAAAAATAATGATATAGGTACCTTAAAAGTAAAAGGATGTGAAAATATAAACTATGCAAATACCTGGGCTCAAATCCTGGCTCTGACACTTACTAGTTGTGAGTGACCACAGGCAAGTCGCTTAAGTGTACTGTGCCTCAGTTTCCTTATCTGTGAAGTACAAATATGTGCTGTGTACAAATGGTATTACTACCTAACTGTAGTGGTATTAAGTCATAAAATTACTTACAAATATTCCAGTTCTTCTTCTAGATATTCTCCTTCTAGATATGCACTATTTTCCTACCATCTTAAAGCATACAAATGCCCAAGTGACTTGTTTCATGAGTGCACATCAGTGAAAGGTTTAAGACTCAGTGTGTGAAAAAAAAAAGACTCAGTGTGTGATTTGCCCCATACACTTTTACCATCAAGCTATGGAGGCTGTCTGTTACTTCAGCATAACATAACCTTTCCTGACTCACACAAAAATATATAGGGTTGTTATGAGGAATATGCTAATGCATATAAGATGTAAGATGCTTGGAATACAGCCTGAAGAATAGGAAGTATTACCTAAGAGATGGTCTTCATGTTAACATGTTATTATCTCCATGTTAAAGAGAAAACTGAGACTTGCAGAGAATAAATAAAGACAATCAGGATTTGAACTCAAGCAGAGCATACCATTACTCTTAACTTCTGCATGATATTATGTCAGTAAGAGCTTGCTATTAAAAGTTTTAGTGGCTCTGGCCGGCTGAGTGGCGCGATGGTTGGGAGCTGGCTTGGGACGCCAGAGGGCCCCGGTTCGGATCCCACATATGAGGGCAAGTGACACTGCCCTCCACAGCTGAGATGCTGAACAGCTCAACCTGGAGCTGGGCTGCCATGAGTCACCGGCGACGGCGTGGGCTGCAGCCCCTGTGGCAGTGGGTTGCCATGGGCTACCGTGTGTGGCCAGCAGCCAGCGTGAGCGGCCAGCAGCCGCAGTGAGCGGCCGTCCAGAAGCCGGCGACTGATCTGCCTCGCCCGGGAAGAGCGCAATGATGGTGCCAACTTGGGCCAGTGAAGCAACGTCCTCCACAACTAGACTGAGGAGCAAGAGGACAGCAACTTGTCTGTTGCCCTTACCCCCAATGCCCCAGCACTGTTCCCATCGCCCCAAATCACCAATTTAAAAAAAAAGTTTTAGTGGCTCAAAAGCAATTCCAGTTTATCTCCATCCAGGCCAGGGAAGGATGTGTAAATCTGGGAGAGAAACAGGCGACCCTGGTGGTGCTCAGGGGCTTGAAGGGGACAGTTCACCTGCTCAGCAACGTTACTGATGATGACCAAGTGAGAGTAATTCTCTTGGCAGAACCTCCGAGCTTCATCCCATGTCTTGGTGCTTAGGGAGAAGTAGTAACACTTGCCTTCAAACAAGAGCCAGCCCTCGGGACAGGTGACCCTGGTACAGTCTGGGAACAGGATAGACTACAATGAGAATCGACCCCATGGATTTGTGTAATGTGCCATCTCTGCCATGCCCCCATCTCAGGACAACTCCCCAAGTCCCACTCACTTAATAAGGCCCGGAGTTCTGCCAGGGACTGGTTGGTGTCAGCTGTTACACGGTTAATGTCCCTCTTCAGGCCAGCTAGCCCTGCCATGCCAGTCACTGTCAACAGGGAGGGGCTGAAAGGTTACAGACCCAAATTCCCATTTACCCAACTCACCCACCACTGACTGCAGACACAGCAGAAAGAAGAAAAAGCTGTACTCCCCACTGCGCCCACACTCCAATGGGTGGTACCAGAACTCAAAAACAACATGTTCAGTGCCCAGGGGGAGTCCTAGAGTGGCTCAGAGGAGGGATTAATCCCTAGGGCTTAGGGAAGAGTGGGGATGGTGGACTTCCTGGAAGAGGTGGGCATTGAAGGAAAATGGTGATTCAGTAACTGTGAGGGGTATGGGGAGACAGAGCAGGCACCTTGGAAGCAAAGGTACGGAGACAAGTATATTGGGGAAGGCTGGTGCAGTGAGGTCAAGGGAACCTCACAGGAATTTGAGCTCAAAGTAGGATGAGGGCATCCTGTTCAAATCAAGGGCTTCTGGGCAGTGAAAAGCCATTGATGGTTTTGAGCAAAAGAGTGTGGCTTGATATAAAATGTGGGGTGAGGGAACAAGGAATGCAGTCATTATCAGACTTCAGCAATCATGGTGAAGACTATGCCAGCACCAAAGATTCTTCTACAACTGATGTGTGTATTTCCACCGCTCCCACACAAACTTGCTCTCTTCCAGCACTCACTAGGGTCATCAGTAGATGGCTCTTGAGTTGGACAACACAAAAATATAAGATATATAAATATATAGATATAGATAAAGAGAGAGAGATAGACAGAGATAGAGATAGATAGAAATGTAAGATATATAAATATATAGATATAGATTAGATAGGTAGATAGACAGAAAGATAGATAAACATGTATATGTTATCCTTGACACCTTTCTCTCTCACTCACCAGGTGTGATCAATTTTACCTCCTAAACCTTTCTACTTCACCTACTTCTCTCCATCCCCACAGCTACAACCCTCACCCAAGCCATTATCACCTCTCACCTGTTCAACTACACCATCCTCCTTCCTTGTACTTAGATGATGCTGCCTCCTACCACAGAGCCTTTGATACGCCTGAGACCCTCAATCCCTCACCTGATTTATTCTTTCTCTTCCTTCACACAGCTGCAGCACCATTTCCCTAGGGAAGCCCTGTATGACCCTCCCAAAGATAAGGTCAAGACCCTTCATTAAACTTTTTCAAAGAATCACCTTCCTCCTTTGGCCTATTCATCAAAATTTAAAATTTTGTACTCATGTGGGTGATAATTTGGTAAATGGGTATTTATGTCTGTGCTGTCCAACAGAAACAAAATGTGAACCACATAGGTAATTTTAAATTTTCTAGTACCACATTTTGTGAAGTCAAAAGAAATAGATAAAATTACTTTGAATGTTATTTTTATTTATCCCTGTATATACAAAATATTATTTTAATGTATAATCAATATTAAAGATTATCATGACTATTATTAAGATATTTTACACTCTTTTTGGTAGCAAGGTTTGTAATTGGTGTGTATTTTAAACTTATAGCACATCTCAGTTCAGAGTGACCACATTTCAAGTGCTCAGCAGTCACAGTGACTCATGTCCACCAGATTGTGTAGTAGAGGTCTAGACACACACACACACACACACACACACACACACACACACACACTGGTACAATGTCTGATGTGTTCACAACCCATCCACTCACCGCCCCCCACCCTGGTAACTAGCACAGTGCCTGGCAAAGAAGGATTTGATTGGCCTTGGAGCTGAGTTTGAGGATCACATTGATATTCAATATTCATGGCATGAAGGGATGATTGAAAACACTCACTATTTGCTTGCCATGCCATCTGCTGAAAGGTTAACATCCTCAGTTCTTCCATCACCTCCCGGTCTGTGAGAAGGAGTCCAGCTTGAGCCCAAGTTCTCCTGTGCCCCACCCCCAATCTCTTCACATGCCCCATCCTCGCCCTACTCACACTTAGTCAGGGTCACAGCCAGACCAGTGAAGCTCAGGAGCAGTGACACCACCAGCAGCAGACATAGGGACACCATGAGTCTCTTCTCCTGGTGGCACCCAGGACCCCCAGACTTCTGATCTAGCCAGGGCACTGGAGTTGCTAGGGGTGGGGATCAGGACAGAGAGACCAATTCTGGTGCTTCAGAAAGTGAGGAAGGGACCCTTGAGCATTTATCCAAAAGCAGGGGGACAGAAGTCCATGGTCATGATTATATCACCAGATGGGGTCAATAAGAGAATGCTGTGGAGAGCAAATCCTGAAGAAGCCCAGAGCATCATGGAGCACTTACTATGTGCCAAGCATCCTGATACAGCCTTATTATCTTATTGGATCCTCACCCTTATGACACAGATGTGAGTATTATTCCCATTTCGTACATAGGTAAACTGAAAGGTCATGCATGATTTGGACCCAGCTCTGCCCTTAACATCTATGATGCATTGTCTCCTGCCCTCCAGCAGCTCCTGCTCAAGATGCATTCCATTCAAGGACCCTTGCATCTGGGGCAGAGAACATTTCCTGTACCTTATATGCAAACAGGAAATGAGGCCCGAAGGGTACCCGGTAGACACCATGGGCCCCTGGGGGGTCTGTCTAGACTGCAGGAGGAATAGCTCCTGAATGGAAATGTTTCTCTGCCCTAGGGTCTCACTCCAGAGCTATGGTCTGACTCAAATACACTGGCCACCATCCCGCCAGAGGAGGGATGGGAGAACAACTGGACTTACTGGCTTGCGATGGCTGGACTGGAGGACGTTCCAGAGCAATGCCTGGGAGAGAGGGAGAGAAGTTTATTCAGAAGTTGCTGAATGGCTGTCATCCAAGACCAACAACCACCGCCCCCCATCCCCTATGATTTGTTCTCTTGCCCGAATTGGGGGACTGGAGGAAGGTGTCTCCTCTCCGCCTTCTCAAAGGGTCTTCCCACAGCTCACCCTGTTGAGATGTGTGGGTGACAGGAGTGAGCTCCAGACCTAGTGGGGGTCAGAAAGATAACGGTCATGCAGAGCAGGGCTTCAGCCAGGTGAACAGGAAGGTCCCAGCCCTAGAGTCTCACCTCTGATTGCCAGGGGTTTGCAGGGACGTGGGGGTGGTTCTGTTACCTTTCCTGAGGAGGGAGGAAAGGTTGCTCAGGCCCAGAGCAGGGCAAAGCCGGAACTGGATCTCCCAAACTCCCAGCCCCAGCTCACCTGCCCTTGGAGGTCTTCGTGGAGCCCCTGAATCTGGAGAAGAGAAGCTCAGAGTTAGAGCTGGTCTAAGGACGAAAACGAGATCGAAAGAAAGGATGAAAACAGGGTTGAGATTGCAGTGCAGGGTTAAGGATGAAGTTGGGCATGAGGATGAAATTGGGATTAGGGATGGGCACAGGATTAAGATACAAGGACCAACCATTCTGGATTACCCAGGACTTTCCTAATTTTATTTTTATTTATTTTTTTAAATTGTACTGGGGAAATGGGGAAGGTAACAGTGTTGGGGGCTTGGGGAAGGGGAACATTGTGTTATTCCAGGACCCATCAGCTCCAAGTCAAGTTGTTGTCCTTCAATCTTAGTTGTGGAGAATGCAAGATCAGCTTCAAGTCCAGTCGCCACTTTCAATCTAGTTGCAGGGAGGCACAGTCCACCATCCCATGTGGGAGTTGAACTAGCAACCTTGTTGTTAAGAGCACACGCTCTAACAAACTGAGCCATCCAGCCGCCCGTTGGCATCTCACAGCTGCTCAGCTCAAGGTACTGTGTTCAATCTTAGCTGTGGGGGGGTGGGGGTGGGGTGGGGGCACAGCCCACCTCCCCATGCAGGAGTCAAACCAGCAATCTTGTTGTTAAGAGCGAGTGCTATCACCAGCTGAGCCATCCGGCTGCCTATTGGCAGCTCAGTGGCAGCTCAGGTCGGGCGCAGCTGACTGGCCCATGTGGGAATCGAACCGGCAACCCTGTCACTCAGAGCTCATGCTCTTAACCATCTGCACCACCCGGCTGACCCAGACTTTCCCAATTTTAAGACTGACAGCCCCACATCCCAGGAAATTTTTCATCCTTGGGCAAACTAGGATAGTTGGTCACCCTAAGTTAAAGATGAAGTTAAGTTTAGGGATGGGGATGGAATCAAGTTTAGGGTTGAGATGAGGGTTTGGATTGGGATGAGGATGGGGTCGAAGGTGACTTGGGGATAATGATGGACATGGGAATAGGGTTGTGATTCATGATGTAGTTGGGATGAAGAACGGGATTGTAGCTGTGTTGGGGGATGGGGGGAAAGTTGAACTCGGTTGGACTTGAGTTTGGAAAAAGGAAAGAAGTTTAGATTGAGTTGTAGTTGTCTTGGGGCATGGTGATTGCATTGTATTTGGAAATGGAAATAGGGATGGAGATATAGCTGCATCTGGAGGTTGGGAGGAGGCTAAGTTTAGGGAACAGGTGGCCCTGAAGATGGGGATGGGGTTAGTCTTGGAGCTGGCTTTAAGGATCATGTTGGGACTGGGTTCAAGTTGGAAACAGGCAGTCAAATGACAGACCCCAGTTTGCCTCCCACCTCATCCTGGGCCCCACAGAGCCCTGGAAACTCCCAGATTGGCCCTAGTCTGAACTCAGAAGTGGGGGCTGTAGAACCCCATCACATGGAATGGCCTCTATCCAAGGACACCAGAGCAGCACAGTCAACCCTCAAGGGCCCTGGTGGGAGTCGATTCAGGGAAACTTCCAAAACCTCCACTTTTATACACACTTATCAGACTCTTGTTGAGTCTCAGGACAGATGTGGGCCACCCAAGTCTAAAGGCAAATCTGGGCCCTGGGTGTGAACACCCAGGTTGGGGAGCCAATGGTCTTTTCTTAGTTTCTCAAACACTGACTTTCATGTCTAGCAGCCTTTGCACCCATCGGTGCTCTTCTGGGCTTCTCTTCCTAACACACTCCTACTCATCCCTCAAGTCCTACTCCAATGTCCCCTCCTCTAACCCCCAATCCTCCCATCACTGCAGGCAGAGCCCTCAGTTTCCCTCAGGATTGGCCCTGTCTCTTGGTTTATCCCACCTACGATCTATTCACCTGAGGTTGTACCCAGAACTGACTTCCCCCATCAGATTGAGAGACCCTCAAGAGCAGGGCAGAGGCATGCATACTCCCACCATTATGGTGCCTGGCATGGGCTAGGTACACAGGAAGCTGGCCGTGTCCACAAAATCCAGCTAGTGTCCCCTGGGGACCTATCTCCCCCTCCAGCCCACAAACCACACATCTCTTCATCTGGCCCCTGAGAAGTCCTCTTACCTGGCTTTGGAGGAAGGTCCTTGTAGGGTGGTGCCGAGTTCTCATAATCATCATCCTCCTCCTCCTCGTCCTCTCTGGTCCCTTCCAGAGCAAAGGCAAGTGAGCTCCCAGCCCATTTCCTCCTCTGTCCCTCAGGCCCCAGTTTCCAGCCCCAGGGTGGGGATGCTGTAACCTGGGTCCTGACCACCCCTGGCTCCCATACCTGGCAGAGCCCGGCACCCAGAGTTAGCATACAGGGTGTGCATGGCTGTAGCTAATACAAAAGCAAGCCTGAGAAGGTACAGCCAGAGCTTGACAGCTTCTGCCCCTTGTCCCTCCTGCTCACATTTCTGGGGCTTCTCTCAGTTCCCTTTTCCTTTAGAAATCAAGTAAATGCAAATCCATCTTGAGGGGAAACACCCCCCCCCAGACCACACACACACATTTCTCCCTAGTTTTGATTCATGCATAGAAGTAACAGTAAAAACAGCCCTTGTATTTGCGTTCCTACAAACTGCCAAACCCTGGGTGGAAAAGATGGATAAGCTCCTTCCTGCATGGTACAATACTTTCCATCAAGACATGCGAGACAATAAACCAGTAAAGAAATATAGAAATAAACACTATAGTTTTTTTTGTTTCATTTCCAATTGTAATGAAGTATTATTTGTTTTTAAATTAAACAGGGTAATGGGGTATGATGGGGGCTAATGTGAAGAGATGATCAGGGAAGGCCTCCTGGAGGTGGCCACATTTGTATCAAGACATTAAAGTGATAGGTGCACATTCCACAGTGAAGTGCTAGGACACTGGGTCAGTTAGCTATGGCTGCATAACAAATTACCCCAAAACTTAGTGACCTGAAACAACAATAAGCACTCATTATCTCATAGTTTTGGTGGTTCAGGAATGTAAGAGCAGTTTAGCTGGGTGATTCTGGCTTAGGGTCTCTCATATGTTTGCAGCCAAGCTGTTGACCAGGGCTGCAGTCATCTGAAGGCTGGACTGGGGCTTGACTGGGGCTGGAGGAGCCTCTTTCAACATGGCACCTTCACATGGCTCTTGATGAAATGTCACAGTTCCTCACCATGAGAGCCTCTCTAAAGGGCTGGTTGAGTTTCCTTACCACATACCAGAGACCCAGGTGGAAGCCACAGTGCCTTTTATGGTCTAAACTCACAAGTCCCAAACTATGATCTCCTCTATACTCTATTCGTCACATGGACCAGCTCTGAGTCACTGTGGAAGGAGACTACACAGGGTCATGAATACCAAGATGTAGGAATCACTGGGGCCATCTTGAAGGCTAGCTACTGTAGTCATACATACAGAACTTGCAAAGGAAGTTTTTTCACACTTAGCTTGACATTGACTAGAGGGTATTTAAAAAGTGAAAGCTAAAGAGAGAAGGAGTGGTGTGCCCACCCCATGGGGAAGCCAAAAGATGAGGTTTTGACTCGCACCAAAACAGCAACATGGGTGAAAGGGCTGTAGTAGGAGTGGTTTGCATCTTTTGTTACAGCAAGGATGTGGGGATTTCCTGTGAGCCAAATGAAGGTTGTGCAATAACCAAACTGAAACCATTTGGAGAACCCTGTCCAAGAGGACAGCCTCCCTGTGTTTCTCCAAAGGACCGCCATCAGCCTTTGCGGGCAACAGCCTTAGAATCATCCATGACTCCTCCCTTCTCTCTCACTCTATGGCTATGGCAAACTGAATTTTCAGAAGATGGTTGGAAACCTGTCTCATGTTCTACATGGTCCTATGCAATGTGACCTTGTTACTCCATTAAGGAGTAGAGTCTAATTCTCCCACTAGATCTGAGCTGGCCTTAGTGACTCTCTTGTAACCAGCAGGATATGGTGGAAGTGACATCAACCACGCAGTTTCCACCTGGCGCTGTCAGAACACATACTCCCAGCTGCCATGTTGTGAGAAAGCCCAGGCCACATGGAGGTCACTCCACTCGATAGTCCCAGCTCAGCCCAGTTGCAAGACATATGAGGGAAGACCCCTCCCAATGATGCCAACCCCCAGGACGTTAGAGTCACCTCCAGCCCTGTGAGCCTTCCTATTTCATGGCAAATCTGTTAGTCATTCTGGTGGGCTCTACCTTCACAATATACCCAGCATCCGAGCCCTTCTTACCTGGTCTGAGTCATCATCATCTTTCACCTGGATCACAGTAATAACCTGCTTCTGGTCTATCTGCTTCCACCCTTGCCCTCTGTACAGTCAAAGTCATAAAAACAGAGAGTAGAAGCCGAGAGGTGGTTGCCAGGGACCAGAGAGAGGGGAAAATGGGAGATGTTGGTCAAGGGGTCCCAAGCTTCAGCTATGAAGATGAGTAAGTTCTGGAGAACTGGTGTAATCAATGTGACTAGTTGACAGTACTGTACTGTGTACTTGAAATTTGCTAAGAGGGTAGATCTTGGGTGTTTCCACTACCAAAAACAAAAAAGGAAAATGGCAACTGTGTGAGGTGATGGATATATTGGTTGGCTTAGTTGTGGTGAATATTTCACAATGCACATGTATATCGGGTTGGGTCATCAGGTTGAACACCTTAAAAATATCCATTTTTTTTTTAAGATTTTTTTGGGGAATTGGGGAAGGGGAACAGACAAGTTGCTGTCCTTTTGTTTTTCAGTCTAGTTGTGGAGGACGTTGCTTCATTGGCCCATGTTGGTATTATCATTGCGCTCTTCCCGGGTGAGGCAGTCACTCCCAGCCATTGGACAGCCACTCACAGTGGCTCACGGCAGCTCACGCTGGCTGCCAGCTACTCACGGTAGCTCACGGCAGCCCACTGCAGGAGGGGCTGCAGCCTACACCGTTGCTGGCGACTCATGGCAGCCCAACTCCAGGTCAAGCTGTTGTTCACCATCTTAACTGTACAGGGCGCTGCGTCACTGGCCCTCATGTGGGATCCGAACCGGGGCCCTGCTGCTCAAAGCTGGCATCCCAAGCTAACTCTTAACCAATGCACCACTCAGCTGGCCCAAAAATATACAATTTTTGATTGTCAGTTTTACCTGAAGTTGGAAGAAAAGCAAACAACAGCCCGTCTTGATTTAAACTTTTAATTTTTTGTTCATCATGGATGTTTTTCATTCCTTTTTATTTTTCAAAAATATTGCATTAAGATATCATTTATCTTAGGGAGAAAAAAGAAGTCTGAAATTAAGGTGTGGGCAGAGCTATGCTCCCTCTGAAGGCTCCAGAAGAGGGTCCTACCTTCCTCTCTCAATTTCTGGGGGCTCTTGGCAGTCCTTGGCTTGTGGCTGCATCACCCCAATCTCTGCCCCTGTTTTCGCATGACCTTCTCTCTGTGTCTCTGTATCTCAAATCTCCCTCTCCTTTCTCTGAAGTTAGATGCTGTACTGGCTTCACAGGAAGAAGCCATGAGCCCAGGTAGACAGCTCTGGAAAAGGCAAGAAAACAGATTCTCCCAACAGATCCTCAGGGAAAGCAGCCCTTGGTTCAAACCACATTAAATAATTTGAACTTCTGACCTTCAGAACTATAAAAGAATTAATTTCTGTTGTTTTAAGCCACTAAATTTGTGGTGATGTGGTATAGTAACCATAGGAAACTATTGCATATCCCAAGGGACAAGACCCCAATTCCCCCTTTGTAGGGGCTTTCCACTACCCGTAAAAGTAAATGCAACTCAAGTTGGCTTAAGCAACAAGGAAATCCTATCCTGAGTATCAGGTTAGGTTGATGTAACAGAGGTTCAGAACAAGAGTGACTTAAAATAGAATTTATTTCTTACCTCACTGTCTCAATATTAGCAACCTGCAATCTCCACAAGTGGGAAAACATCCCCAGCACAGAAGTGGGGTGGCTCAAGCCCCAGCTAAGGTGGAAGGAGGGCAGCAGACCAGCCAGCCTCTCTTTCCCAAGAAAGCTCAGCCAGGTACCAGGATGTCTCCTGTTACACTGGATGATGGGGCTGGTCACATTCTATAGATGGGGAAGTGGAGACTTGTCTGAAAAGGAAGGGAAAAAGAGCTGTTTGCCCACCAAACACCTGCTGAGCACACAGGGGGAGCATGAGGCTCCAGGTGGATATGGGGGTGAGGGGAGGAGAGAGAGGGAACAGTGGTAAGGGTACACCAGCCAAGAGGTCTAATAGCATCTCTGCCTATGAAGGACGCCTTTTGAGGTGGGTGCAGTGAAGATTGGATGGTCTCACTGTGTGGGAGTGATGGCCACATGGTCAAGGCCTTCCCTCAGGGCCCGGCACACAGTCAACGCTCAGGAACTGCTGTGGAATCCAGTCCCGTCAACTGGGTATAACAAAGATCCCAGCTCTGCGCTCTTCTTGCTATGTGACTTCAGGGGAGTAGAACATCTCTGAGCAACAGTCTCCTGATATGTCTAAGGGGGATGGGGGATTCGATAGTTCATTCATCCATTCAGCAGATACGTATTGACCACCTACTATGTGTTAGGCTCTGGGCTATGTACTAGGGAACCATTGGCGAATAAAAAAAAATATCTTGCAATAAAAAGGAAAATCACAAAATGGAAATCATACAAAGCATGTTCTCGGACCAGAGCCAAATTAAACTAGAAATCACAGAATGACATGTGGAAAATCCACAAACATCTGAAAATTAAGTCACACCCACAGGTCAAAGAGGAAGTCGAAAATATTTTTAATTGAATGAAAGCGAAAGCATACCATATCAGACTATGTGAGGTGCAGGTAAAACAATGCTAAGAGGGAAATGCTTATGTTTAAGAAAGTAATTGGGTATATTTGAAAGTTGCTAAGAGAGTAAATAAAATCTTTTGTTATTTTTTCAAGTAATGCTCTTAGAAATCTTTTTTACATGTGTTGCTAGACACTTCTCTACATGCATTGCACAATTGTCTACACATCTATTTACTAAAATAACACTGTTCAGAACTAGACGAGCAAGGAACACTCATAAAAACTTGGATTTTCACATGTGTCTTTAAACACACCTCTATGTGCATTGGGTATTCTGGATTGGGTAATCCATACCCAGAAATAATAAATATTGTTCTCAGAGAGTAGATCTTAAAAGTTGTCATCACAAGAAAAAAAAATTATAACTATGCGTGCTGATGGATGTTACCTAGACTTATTGTGGCGATCATTCACAGGATATACAAATATTGAATCATTATGCTGTACACCTGAAGCTAATATAATGTTATATGTCAATTATATCTCAATTAAAAAGAAGAAGGTAATCAGGAAAGGCCTGACAATTGAAATAGACCAAAGAAGGCGAGGGGAAGGCCTTGGATATCTGGAGGAAGAGCATTCTAGGTTGTGCAAAGGCCCTGGGGACAGCAA